AGAGGTAAAAAAAAAAAAAAAAAAAAAAAAAAAAAAAGAAACGCTAGTATACTTCAGAGCAGATGCGCGCGATAAAATTGTAATCGGCGATCGAAGGTAGGGTTACATTTTTACGAGGCTCTGCTTTATTATTTCAGCTCACATCAACCACATAAAGGAAGTGGCCGGCGTCGACCACGTCGGCCTCGGGGCTGGCTACGACGGAATATCCAGGTGCGTGTGTGATTATTTTGACTGCCCTTTGTGCCCCCCGAGGTCGAGCATTCGATGCGCTTTCCAGCCGTACCGGTGAACGCACGATTCGTTACATCGTCAGCTATTACCGCCCAATTGGTCAGACCTCGCGTGATTTACAATTACAGAAACTAAGCGCTCGGGTACGGTTACTGCGGTGCACGATAACGCGCGCGCGTGCAACCGCGTATCTAGGGTAAGAATCTCTGTTTGGGTCAGCGTCCTTCTATCACTTTGCGGGAGCGGCAGCGGTCCACCCACCAATTTTCGGATAGTGCGATTTTACGGCTAAACGAATTTGCTCCCAAAGAGAGAGAGAGAGAGAGGGATAGGCGTCTTTGTTACACCAATAGGACTGTTTTTAGAGTTTGCCGGTGTTGGGGGGAAAAAAAAAAACCATAAACCATTTATACTACTGGGCCGTAAATTTCGAAAGTTCTGGTTGAAAGTAGCTCCTTCTTCTTCTTTGAGCTACTCCCTAGCTCAGCGTCAGAATTGGGATCTGGGATTTTATGAAGAATCCTCGGCCAGAGATGGCAGTATAAACCGAGCAATGGAGTTGTATTACGACTACGGGGTTCCCCCTGTCACTGGCCCCGGGGCTTTTATTTTGTTTCGTTTACGGGCGTACTGACGTTGTTGAGTATACGCAATTTTGAACTTTCTACGCTCGTACAGATGATCTCGTTGTGAGCAAAAGTTTGGCTTTCAATTTCACCATTCCGGTATAATTTTAGAGCGAAATTCACGGCTGATGGGAAAAATTAAAGTTTTACAATTGAACAGCACACGCGGCCACAACTTCATCTGTGCTGCGTTAAATATTGAACATCTGCACGTATACTTTTCACAATGATTGGTGTATCGATAACTCGTGCAGCGAAATCATTAATTACTTTTTCATTAAAATCATCAATTCAAACGCCCATCAATGACCCTTGCAAATTAAATTGAATTCCACGAATCAAAATCAGAAACTATACAGTATCAATTTGCTGTAAATTACGCCAAATAAGGAAGAATCGTTGTCCTTGTTATGAAAAACTACGTAATGAATTATTATACGCAATAGCAGCACTACACGTACGATGTGTTTTCTGAGCCATCCGCAACTTTAAATCACTCCGACACGTCTAATTTTTTTTGTTTCGAGAAATGATCTACAATACTTATAGTTAAGCTTCATTTCGTGGTGCTGCGTAATCAAAAAACGAATACTCTCAAGTATTAATCACCAACCTCGATAGATCACGTAGCATTGACGGGGTGAAAATTATCCCGACCCCTCCGTCAATCGAATCCTGAGGTCTAGTGGGGAATTTCTATCCGACATTTCCGAGGCCACTCGAGGCTTTCACCACCCGATGAAAGAGGGAAAAAACCAACCCACGCCCAAGCCACCTTTCAGAACCGCACGAAAGGAAAAATAGACCAATCGAGCCTTGCACCACACGCCAACGGCGCGAAAGGAATTTGATAATAATTTCAGGCCCCAGACATTCGGAGAAAAGAGGAAGAAGAAGGAAGCGAGAAGGCACGTGATAAGGAGGGACGCGAGAAAAAACCCCCGTGGCAGAAAAGTGCTCGCTCGACCAATTATTCGAGCCATTCCAGGCTCGCTTGCCTCTCGAAAGGGTTTGGCTTTCACCGACGCCTGAATCCCGTCTCCCACCCACCCCCCCTCTTTTTTTCTTCTTCTATTTTTACTTCCTCAGGCTTCTTCATTTTCCGCGGGACTGTCGCGAATATTTTTTGGCACTTTGAAGAACTGGCACTCGGGCTAATCAAAACGTACGTGCCGACAGCCGGGAGCTGAAAATTTTCATTCAAAATATTTTAACGCCAACTGGCAGAGAAAGGAAAGCGCGTGAAACGTGCGGGAGCACGAATTTTTCCCGAGTCGGCGGGGGATGATTCCTTTTTCGCAAAAGTGCCACGGCTCCGCGGGAGAAGGATAAAATATGGAGCCTCACGTATCTCCCCCCCCCTTACCTTCACCCTCCTTGGCTTTGACAGTGTGTATCTTTCAAAGGCGCGTTTATTTTACCGCAAATCCACAGATGTTTGAGATGAATAAATGCTGGCTGTGCGGATTTCTTCCGCGTTACCCTCAAGTAGTATTAAAAGGAAAATAGCAAACCCGAGAAGTTTAAAGTTTTCCTATCGTGAAGTCGACACAATGGGCTTGATGCATAAGACTACGACGCCATTCAAGCTTTACGAGTAGATCATTTTGTCCCTGATTTTTTCGCTAATCGGTGGAGTATATAACATTTCCACGAATCCTGGGAGGTCCTTGCAATAAAAGCCTCGATTTTTCTTCGATCCGATGGGAAAAAAAAAAAAAGAGGAACCGTCGCTCTCTAAATCTCTCCGCGCGTGCATTACCGAACGGAAGGGACCTTGGGAGAAAAATAATTGAAATAAAAGTCGACGGGCAAAGACACCCCATCGAGTACAAATAATCGACGACCGGATGAAAAGAGAGGATCAATGTAAAAGCCATTACCCGCGGCTCAGGACTCCCCCCCCTTTCACCAATCAACAGTTGGGTCCGTCAATAATTCAGAAGACTCCCTCCACCCCTCCCCCTCCTTTGGCCTGTACACGTTCTCCTGTCTCCTATTCTATTTTTCACTAGCCGTCTCTCGTCTGCCACGGTATACCTACCCCCGTGCAAATGAAAAATAGAGGCGAAACGGAATATCGACAAGCGCCCGGCGCGATTTACAATTTAAAGGCGCCCTGCGTCGTCGATTTCCAAGTCCTACCCCCCCCCCCCCTTGGACCATCTCCTCCTCCTCCTCGTCCTTCCAAAGACGAATCGCCAGGGGTATAAATAACAGATCGTATCTCTTCTCCTCTTTCCTGCCCCCCCCACCCAGTCGGCATCTTCTTACCTGCGTCTGACCAAACGTACGGCTTCGCTACTGAATTTTTTCCTCTCTCATTTCCCGTACACCTACCGCGGCCGGAGGAAAATAAAGTAAAAACGCGCACAGCCAATCAATTAAAACGTGGTTTTCTCACTCGGTGGGTACGTACATACTTCTTCGGGCGACGGTTTAATCGTCGCTTCCGTTGTAGCGGAGACGCAATCAAGCTGTTAATCGCGTAGTGGAGGTAGGAAAAAAAGTTCAGTTGTCCGCGACTAGCCCAAACTATGTACGGGTGCTCGACTTCGCGGAGCTTTCCCGCGCGACTGTATGCACAATGGGCAAATAATCACGTATGTAAATTTCCCAACAAGTCCGCCCACGGAGTTGCCCGACGTGTCGGGGTACCCGCTGCTGTTGGCCGAGCTGACGCGCGACCGCAGATGGCCAAGCTCGGACATAAAGAAACTAGTCGGCGGCAACCTGTTGCGGGTGCTCAAGGAGGTGGAGCATCACGCGTCGACCCTGTCCAACCAGACACCGGCCGAGGAGTGGATATCCCGGGACCTCATCGAGGGATCGACCTACTGCGCCTACCTCGGCGTCTGAGCCCCCTTTGGCCTTCCGAGTCACGATACGCCCGTGTGGCCCCCACCAACGCCCCCCTTTTTTTTTTTTTTCACGAAAAGCAAGGGGAGCCCCCAACTCGTGAAATCCTCGCAAGTGGTATTTTTTCGGATTTGATGTATCGAGCTGTACACGCATGTATACGCGCGTGCTTCTCGAGTTGGAGTCGCAAACACGTACGATGGATCAATCATCGGGGGCTCCGAGGATAGAAAATTGAATCCTCGCCGTGTACCACTTGATTGGGATTTTATTTGTACGGCCGTACACCCTTATAAGGGGAGCCTGATCATTTCAAGTGCCCATAAATTTGATTTTCAATCGAGGGACCCGCCATTTGATGGATCGGGCTTTTTAACGGGGGGAGCAGCTAATGCCGCGTTATTTTAACACTCTCTGTCAAACTTTTCGCAACGAGAATTCGGGTGCGACTGAAAAATCATTTTCACCGGTAATGGTAGGTATGGCACAGTATACATGTAAATAGAGGGGGAAAACAAAAAATATATCTAGGGCGAGCAAGGTTTTTTTAATCTTCGAGTCAGCTGATTGTTGTACAATCGACGCGTGTACGTGTAACTATCGTGGCATCGTCCGAATAGTCGTAGCGGGCCAATTATTGTATGAGCTCGAGGGGAGGCGAGCTACCACCTACGTGCATATAATATATATATACATACGCGTGATGTGTTTGATAATTGATCATCGTGTAAAAAAAGTCCTAGGATCGCGAGTGTGTGCGTGTTGTTTCACTTTGGATATAAATATAGATAAACTGTTTTTAAATTAACAACAACAAAAAAAGTTGAGATGGTTATCGGTTGCATATATGAATGTTACGTCGATATTACCGAGAGTTGTTTAATGCGGGAAGGAGCTCTAGTGGTACTGTGTACATTTGTTACGACGATGAGTCTTTTGGCGATCGTTTTGGATGTTACGGAGGTGTTTTTTTAGCTAATCTTAGATCGTTGGTCAATAGAGTAACAAAAATACATTTTAAAAAATCTTCTCGGTAACATCGGAAACGAGCGCCACGCTTTCTGTATATTACGTACATTATATAAATAATTAAAAGTTACGCATATTAATATAATAAAACTGCCAAGTAGATGAAGAAACTAACGAGGACGATCGATTTTTTTTCAAGTATTTAAAAGTACTTACACATGAGTACGTGTGTGACCGTATTACGAAACAGAAAGTTGCTTCTCTATGCCACCACGATTTTTTTTTTGTTGTTAGGAAAACTTTTAGATTTTCTTTAATGCAGATATACAAAATTGAAAATTGATAACATTTCCACGAATGTTTGATCGCACCGTTTACTCCGAAGGTAGTTTATACGCCAATATGTTACTGACTTCCCATCAAAATGTTGGAATCGTATTTTTCGCATTCATATCGAACGATATCAACGGCATGAACAACCATGTATTGACGCTGCAAAGGTCACGTGTACAAATATAACAAAGTGCGCACAATAAATCCGACGATATTTCTTGCTTTTGTTTCAACGGTTCATCTGCGTTTGCCGTTATTCATCATCTTTGGCGCTAATGCAAAGCAACCATTTACTCCGAGCACTTGTATACTTCGAAGCGACACCGAGAAGAACTGATTTTGTATTTTCATGTAAATAATAATAAAACAGCGGTGCTGTGAACTCGAAAAATCACGCTTCCTCGAATCATTGTCCCGACAAACATTCCCATTCCATTCGAAAGGTGCACAATCCATCAAAGTGTCCCTCACCCGGTCAAGATTCGAGAAAACGGCATTAAAAATTATTGAATGAATCCATAATGACGAAAACTCGCCCGGTGTTTGTACAGGCGAACTTTTTAAAAAACTCTTCGATAAAGAAAGCAAACGGAAGAGCGGAGCTCGAAACGAAAACAAAGACTGACAGAGACGAGTCGGCAGAGAAAAAAGGAGCATCGGCAAGTTCGATAGGCGCAGCTCAGGGAGGAAGAGGATATCACCGAAGAAAAAGAGTAACAGGTAGGTGAGCGAAAGTAAAACAAAATTTTCTCTCGGAAAAAAAAGGGGGCGGGGCCCTCCATTCGTCGTCTTTGCAGGGGCGAACGAGAAGACTCATTTTTCGCCGCCTCGGCAAACAAACGCGGAAGGGATTAAAAAGCCGCGGGATCGACACACACACACACACTCTCCGAAACTTTTACATTTTTCACTCTCCGCATAAACGTATGGACGTCGAACTTTAAATTACCGAAAGCGAGAATGGCTTTTGTTAGTCGGGGGCACGGATGGAGATCTCTGATATCGGGGGAGAAAAATGCTTTGATCCGCTCACTCTCTCATTACTTGCCGTTAACCGGCCCCGATGGTGTTGACAAAAGCTCTTGCACGAGTATATGTGTACGGGATGTGGAGAGGACACGCGCGCCCCGACACGTCCAAAGTGTTGTTTCGAGCCGTAGAGGAGTATCGCCCGAAGCAAGCGGTGCTCTGTAGGTTCGATTGACCAGGGCTCTGGAATTTCGCCGACTAAATCGAATGTTCGCTCATCTATGCACATAGTTAACCATGTTGCTTTAAAACTCGAATTTTCCTTCTCCACGGGAGGAGGAGTATGTTATATTTTTTTATTTTTTGTATAAAAAGGATGGCTTGGCTTTCTGTAGTCTGTGCTGCGCTTGAATTCGATTTACTGAAATTTCGTACACGGTCTTCGAGCAACGGAATTTAATTTAATGGCACTGAATGTATTTTCTTTTCCGGTAAAAAAAGACTACCACGTGACCTATCGGTACATCCTATTATCTCTACGGTTATTTGAGTTTTCAAGTAACACAAAATATTACCAAGTTACATTCAACAAAGCAAACTAAGCAAAGTCAATGATCAGTTGTTGATTATGCACTGAAGAAAAAGAGGTTCGTCACATACCGTGTTTCTTCCACAAGGCATGTCCCGAATAGAAGACATGTATGTTTTATATTCGAGACTTGTATAGTGTACGAAAAAAAAAAAAACCTGTATATGTATATGATAAAAAGGTAGTCAGCTATAATTGAAACATCGGAAAAACATAATACGAAAAGTGCGATAATTTTTTTTTTCTTCGCTCGATTAAATTCAGAACGCCTGTCACCGTCATTTCTCATAAAACGTAAGATAACAGCTTTTCCTTTTTATTATTTTTAACGTCACAGCAGAGAGAGAGGGAGAGAGAGGGAGTTTCGACGGTGGTAATAAAAAGACAAACGACTCGAGAAGGTGTTTTTCTATTAAAATTTTTTCCATTCACTTTTAATGGCCGCAACGTCGTAAATCACAAAAATTCACGTAAAAGAAAAAAAAAATTTCCCATAGGCAGCACTAAATGCTCAACCAACTGATTTATACGTGCCATCGCGCGTATCGGTGCTTTTTTTTTTCATCCTCCCCCGAACCATTAAATATACTTTTTTTTTTTTTTTTATTTCCAAACGCGCATTAAAGCCCCTCGTACATCCCCAAGTGATCCACTGCGAAGTGACGTCACGCGTATCCCTACAACTTGCCCCTTTTCGAGCGGCCCTTTGTCTGCAAAAAAAAGGCCCAAATATTTACCAAAATTTCCCCCCACACGCGCGCGCACACACTCCGAGAGAAAAAAAAAGGACCAAAGAAGAGATCAAAGAGGAAATGGTTGTCCTCCTCTTGCTCAAAAGGAAAAGAACAATGCCAAAGAGCCGTAAGTTCGAATTACCGCAGTAATTACTCAGCAAGTCGAAAGGAAACCAGTTTCAAGCGTGTATGTATATTTACACACAAACACACACACATATCAAACACATGCTCTCTCGTAGCGCTCTGCCCCTCGCAATCGTCCCCATCATTTGATGTTTGCACTAGCACTAATTGCACGGCGCACTGGCTTTTTTTTTTCTTTTTCCCTGCCACCTCCAACCCCCCGACAAGCTTAAACATTCATCGCCTCGTATCCCTCCTAGTCAACCCCTTGTTTGCCGTGTGTACATTTGATTCGTTTTAAACCAAATATGCCCAATATACCCAATTGTAACTTGTAAATTTATCCGCTCCACCCCAATGTAGATTCACGAAATCATAGTGAACCCTGGGGTTTCATTTGGTGGTGCTGCTGTCGCAATACACAATACGCGTGTACGTATATATGTATATAAACACGCGCTACCCCGATTATTCAACTCGAGATTATATACATAGACAACACGTGCATCCCATGAGCCAAGTAACTAGCCGGCTGTGCGATGTCGGTGCCCGGGCCATTGTCACGTTACGCAAGGGTTACATATTGCATAACTACCCCCCCCCGCCTTTCCGTACACGAGTCGCGTGCAGTGCATGTATATATATATATATATATATATATATACGTATAGTTGTTGGCCACCACACTAGTACCGCATAAGTAGGAGGCAATTCTGCAACATTACACGTACAACAGTCACGCGAGAGCTCGAAAGAAAAAAAAAAGACAAGAGTGCGTATATACCTGTTAATAGCAGCTAATGCAATATAACCCAGTGGTCATTTGCACCCCTATGCTCGTTATCATGTACACGGTACCCAACAGCAGTGTAGCTCCCTCCTCCTCCTTCTAGCATGATTCGCGAGCAGGAGAGAGAGAGAGAGATACATCATGCGCGCCCTGAGAGTTCGGGCTTGCATAATTCATGTCCCACTTCGTTCCTCCGCGTGTGCGTGTGTTGTGTGGAGTGTATATACACAGTTGCCACCGTATACGTACATTACGGTCTTGATCATTGTGAGCACGGGTGTCGCCGACGCGAAAACCCAGACAGGCGAAGGATGGCTCTCCATTGTGCGGACAACGCCGTAATTGTCGGACCGGCCCAACTCTTTGCTCCAAACATAATACACGCGTACAATGTTTCCGGTGTACCCCAACGAAAATCACACGGTTACACCTTCAATATCGCACTTTGAACGAAATTCCACGCGGCCCTATCTGCTCCCTATCACTTGGC